CATATGTTGTCTGGATATTGCATTAAAATGAATAGCAGTGGACATAAGTACTCAGTAAAAAGCTATGCATGTGGGACATATCTATGTATATATGCACACACTCTTTTTCTATTTGGTCTTTTAAAAAATCCTGAGGTATTTTAAGGAAGGAAATAAACTTTATATTCAATGGTAATTAATATGGACTTCATTTTGGCAAATCATAATTTGACCACTATTTCCCCTTTTAATATGAAGAATTTTAAGCTTTAGTGGAGGAAAATGCTGTTCTTAAGCCACTTTGAAGCAATGTTAGTGAGCCTACAATCAGATCTACATGTTAATCTCTAGTTTTGCCTTCAAACAGAATTCAGTTACAAAGAACTTGGAAAGATTTTGAATCTATTCAGGAGAGGAAAACTCTTTAATTTTCTGAGGAGTAAAAACTCCCCAAGAAACTTCATATAGCTTCTTAGATTTTGCTTCGCATACGTGATAAAACATTGATTGTTGCAGTCTGGTGACCCATGAAATTTGGGGGTTAGTTTTCTCTTCAGACCAGAGCATATAATTATGCAAATAAAGAGCTGTCACTGATCTAGTGAAATACTCACAAACACATGCACTCTGAAATTGGGCAGAAAAGTGAAAATGGTTTGTAGTGTGACAGTGCCATAGCTTGCTTTCCTGCCAACTTTCTATCTGAGTTCATTATTCAAACTGTAAACTTTAAAGAGACATATCGTTCTTGGGGTGTTGGGTGTTTTCATTTCAGATTCTTGGTTTTAGTCAAAGAGTAAGTTAGTTCAATATTATTTTACTTATGAGAACATCTCATATCACCCAATGTAACAGCCACAAAAGGATAAGCTGAATGATCTGGAGACACAGATGATGGACCTCCATACATTTCTTCATAGAAACATATTTCATAGCTGTTTAAACAAAGTTCAATTCCCACAACACAGAGCATAGTAAAAGGTTTTCCACAAACCTCAAGGCAAAGGGCCAGGAAAAGTTGCCTGAACACCATCATGGATTAAGTTAAATCTTCATTTTCTAAGTTTTGCATCCACAGGGAAAATACTGGCAACTCTGTGATGATCAGTCACTGACCAAACAAACCTCCAGGTTTGATCTAAATGGCAAATCTTTAACTTTTGTGCTTTATTTTCCATTATTATTCCTTTAAAACTTTTGTGCTGAGAATGAATACCATTTCTGCATTCTATCAACTACATTAGTCTTGAGATTTCCCAGTCCCAAAGTTGCCATCACAAGCTGTTGACTAGTTTTAGATGTTATGGAGGGTCCCAGTGAGGAGACCCAAGGAGTTTTATGTCAAACCACTGACTGCTAAAGACATCACTTTATGAGAGAGCAGTGGTGTGAAACTTTAAAAACATTGATCCAAATGAATCAATTAAATCAACATCCATCCCTTCTAAGTATGAGATTTAAAACTACCATTGTCCCTTAAATTATGCAGATTTCAAGATAAATGCTGGAATGCTTTGATAGCTACTTCTATTCCTGGACCTCTCTTTCTGCCAGCGCCTCCCCAACATTCCAGTTGGTGTCCATTCTTACTTGAGTACAGTGACGGCAGGTGCAGTGGTTTGAATCTAAAACCACCCCACAAAGCTAATGCTTTAGGCGGAGTGGCTTTAAGTTCTGTGAAGTGTTGATTAAAAACTCCTTTCCCAGACCCAAACTTATCTCTTTTTTTTTTCTTTTTGGAGATTAATAGAATATTAGATAAAAGGAAGGTGAATAATTCAAGGGATTCCTCAGTCATTCTATACAGGGAAGGAAGGAAAGTATTACATTTTTTGAAAGGGGTATGTCTTGTATGTCTTATAGTCTCTTCTTTTATAATATTATACCAGACAGCATATAAGTAGTCACCATAATTATCCCCTCTTTTGCCACACATATTTCAAATATATAAATGCCTCATGGTTTTTTTAAACCTCTCCCCACAAATCATGAGAAAAGTTTTCAAAAATGTACTGTGAAAATTTACACTGTGAAAGTTACTTAATAGCAATCTTTCTTAATTTAATTCAGGGTACAGCTTCCAACAATTCAGTTAGCCTATCTAAACAATGATTACAACATGTAAGATTCACACATTTGGATTGGAACTCTAGGGAATACAGAGAAACATGAAAAAAATCTAGTTTATTAGTAGTGCTAATTTAGTTAACACACTCTGTCACCCAAACCTCTCAAAGGAGTGCAAGGCTTAGAAAGCAAGAGCTATAGCATAAATGTAAACAAGGTAGTCCTGAGCTGAACACGCTTTATCAAGGTCTTCCTAGCAGCAGCTGGGGAGCAACTTACCAGGCTCCCTTTGGAAATTATAGTAACTGTACAGTACTGTTTATTTTGTAAAACATTTGAAGACAAGTTTTCTAATTTCCTTGCTAAGAGGATATGTATATATTGAGAAGATATGGTAAAAATGTTACCTTTAAGATATATGTGAGACAAACAGTGACTCAACTGAAGTTAGAGTGTCGCCTTACAGCAGTAGTAACAGGAACACTAAGTAACTATAAGGCTTGTAATACTGAGGGCCAATCACTCCTGTCCCAATCACTCCTGCTAGCTTTCAGCTTTAACAGACTCTGTGCAGTTGGTGAAAAAACAATTGAGGAGGAAGAATACACAGTTGCTTTGTTGAAAAAATTTTATTTCAAAATGGTAAACAAGAGTACAGGAGGCTCCACGCTTTATTATTTTTGACATATAAACAAACAAAAATGCATTTCAGGAAGCAGGAGGCAGTAATGTGAGAAAAGAACCATTATTACAAGTAGATGGTTTAGCAAACATCCAGGGTGACTTCCAAGGACTGTGTGTTAGATGGCCCCAGAGAGCTCCAGAGCACCTGCCTGGAGCCTAAGCGTCAATCAGAGTATTTAGAATTTCCAACTTATGCCTTTCTCCATCTAGTTACTTTAAGAACTAAGTATAAGATAAAAAAAAAAAACCCTCACACCTTACCTTTCTACCACTGTGTGCCTAACATCTTTTTAAGCAAATAAAAATAGGAAGAACAGAGGAAAAATCTTAACCCTGGCCTCCGTGCAGGCAGGGTACTGCCAAGTGCTTGTTGTTATCCCAAGAAAGCCGAGGTGAATAATATCACTACACATATACGAACAGCAAGTCAATCAACAAGTCAAGCAATCCTAGGTTGTAAGGATTGCAAGGAATCACCTGTCACTCATCAGCTCGTGATCTGGGGTGCTGTGCCTGGCCCCCTCTGGCTTGGTCTAGCACAGACCCACAAGTAGTAACAGACATTTACAAAATGAAACTTTGTAAATAGCTCTCTACGAGACAGATGACAAGGTTACAATTCAGTGACCGCAAAGTACTCATCCCAAGGAAACAGAGACTTTCTCTCAACGAGGTTTGAGAGCTGCAGAGAGGAACTTGAAGGAAGGAACGGGACACTTTTACCTGCTTTATAAGTTGAGCACGTTTACTTTGCTTTAATTTAGCTGCAGAGGTTAAGCAAATTTGGCGCTGCATAGGTTTCCCCCCGCTTGATGTTGCAAACTCAGTTTCTTGTGAACATTTTCATATACTGAAAACACCAGACAATTTATAACATTTGGTAAGGCATACTCAATGCATACCATTTTTTCAAGCCCAGTCACTGGAAAGATATCATTATTTTCACAAAGTTCACCAATCCTTCTAAAACCAGAAATGTAAAGGGTCACGATGACAGTCCAATGTGCTTGACATTGCTGGAGTAACACATTTTAAACTGCAGAAGCTGGATAAAACACTGTTTTGATTTTTTTCTAAGGTGCTTCTGCCTAAGAAGATGTCCAGCCACAGCCTCTGAAGACTTTACTGTCACTACAGAAATGTATGCATATGCAAACAGCATGAGAAGTTACCAGTTTGAAACTTGCTTAAAATCAGTTCACGATATGAGAATATTCCTCATGAGGTGGCTGAGTGCAGGCTTTCTTTGCTGGCATTAGTAACTCAGACTCATTTTGATTATACTGTGTCATGATCTCAAACAAGGCAAACACATTACCTGTTGAATTCATTTTAAAAAAGATGGACATATTAAATCACGATCTCACCCATTGGACACAATCTTCACTAATTAAAATTTTCACGTAATTAATGTTTAATGCTTTTATTTGAAAGTCAGTAAAATGTCAAACTTATTTTATCTTCCGTACTTCACAGAGTTAACCTAACTGTTGGAATTACAGGGCAGAACCCTATCACAGGAAGAGACCACTAAATATTTTGGACCCAAAAGAGAAACTCATTTACACAATGCTTCTCTTTTCCTACTGTAGACGAAAACTGAAGCATTTTTAATCTTACTTGGCCTTTTGGAAGGAAGAGGGTATGCAGTTTCATTTTCTTGATGATAGTAAAAAAATCCTGCATCAGAAAGGGTACACTACAAGAAAATCAAAGTACAGTTTGTAAGGATCAACAACTACCATCCCCGCTCTGTACTGGAGCACATAAAGAGCAAACCTTATGTGTATCATCTAAATCACATCGTGTTATACACTTTAATAGTAAGATCAGTTCTCATAAGTAACTTGGAAATTCACTGAAAATGGGGGGTTATACCTACATCTAAAAGATTTGTTTATGTTTTTCGTTTGGACATTCTCTCCTGAAATCAGAGACATAAAAGACTGGAGTTCAACTGGGCAGAAATGAGAACTCCTGTGTGTGACTTTGTATAAAAGACAGGGGCTCATAAGATGACCTGAGGGAAAAACCTGGTTAAAATCAAAGTTTGAGGTGTAGAATAAAAGCTTGCTGGGTTTAAAGGGGAATAAAAATGGGCACGATTGAGGCTGGGCAGCGGCGGCCGCGCTGCAGCGGGCGGTAGGACCGCGCAGACGCCGCCCGGCCAGCCGCGCCCGCGGAACAGCCCTGCAATTAGGGGCGCGGGGCCGCGGCGCTCGGGCCCTCTCAGCCTCCGTCCGCCGCGGCCCGCAGCGCGAGGCCCGGCTCAGCCGCAGCAACGCAGCCGCCGAAGCCATATTGCTTTGACAGTTGCACTCATCTAGAAATAATGCAAAACGCTATTTAGACGGGCACATCACGACCCTGCGCTGGAGGAAGAAAGCAATCTAATGGGAGGCAGGAGGCTGCGGGCGGCGTGCGGGCGCGGCAGGCGGCTGCGCGCTCACAGCTCCTCGTGCTTGATCCTGTGCGAGCGCCGCGCCAGGGCTGGCTTCTGCGAGCTGCTCTTGGCCTCACAGGCTTCCGCGAAGAACTTGAAGATGGACGGGAAGCTCTTCCACGAAGTGAGCTCGTGACGGTCGGTGCCTGCGGAAACACACACGGGGTTACAAGGGGTCGCATGGGTGTGTGGCCTGAGGCGAGGAGGCCGCCCTCCTGGCGACTGCACCGCCACCGGCAAGCTCGCCTCCCGCTCACAGGCCCAGGTTGCGCTGGTCCCTGGCGTCCCCACCCCCGGCCGGCCTCGCCCCGCTAGAATTTGGCCAGGCCCCCGAGGTAGGGCCCGGCGCTCCCCGGCCGAGGTCCTCAGGGCCAATCCAGTAGCTCGGCGGGAAGGGCCACTCCCTCTCCCGCCCAGAAACCACCCACCTCCCCAGGCCTGGGATTGGTTTCCCCAGCGTGCGGGATCCCGATTCCACCACACCCACCCCGGAGCGCCTCGATGTCTCGGCTTCCCAGGCAGAATCGGGGGAATAATTCTTTTTCTGGCCTGTCCCAGTCTCTGATGTTGGACACGACTGCTTCAGTAAGGTCACTGGGACCAAAACACTGGAGATATTTAATGAAAGGCCAGATTCAAAAGGAGACCAGGGGCCTTGAAAGTATCCTAGGAGGGCCACATGCTTTACAGATTTTAGAACAGATCTAGAAAAGCCAGACAAAAAGTGTTTCAAAGCAGAACCACTGGAAGAGGCCTCCAATTCAGTCGGGGAATTCAGAGAAATGTTAGATTTTCAATTTACAAGGTTATTTTACTACAGTTTCTGTCTGTGGTTTGGATTGACTGTTACACACTATTCTTCAAACCAAATGGAACCTTTAGTTTGAAAAAGGAAGCAGGTAGCATGCAGGCATGGGAAGACATGAAGAAATAATATGGGCTTAAGAAAAAAAAACTATTTTAAAAAAAGAAAAAACTATTTGTGATAGCATATATAATTTAACCACTAACATCATAATCAATTTTTAAATTAAAATAAATAAAATAATTATAAATACTGCATAGAAATTATGAAACAGTTGAAATCTCATCTGCAATCACTCAGTTATGCAGATGCTGCTTGGAAGTTCCTGAATTCAGGGCCTCTGATACTTTAACATTGTTAATGATAATTCTTTAGTCTGTAATAGTAGGTCATTGCTATGGTTACTCTACAATGGTGCAACACTTTGCCTTCCCCCTTCAGCTATTCGCTGAGACCTGGTAACCACATTTGTTGCCTAGCAACAGCTTTGTGACAGTATCACAATCTGGGAGATATAACAATAAAGATACTATGGCTGCACTTGGTTGGCCAGAGAGCAGAAAGCTACAAGTTTGTGCATGTGACTTAGTTGTGGGAGCTGTCTGGCCCAACTGGAGAAGTCATTTCTTCCCAGGTACCCGTCACAGTGATGTCTTTACCCCCTTTTCTCTGGCCTTGTGAACCTGTTCTTGGAACTAAGATCCAATATTGAAGTCATCCTCTGGAGACACATCCTCCTACAACACTGTATCCACACTGAAAAATGAGGTCATTTCTCTATTTGCTTACACATTTCTGGCAAAATTCAAATCATTTAGTGGAAGGAATTGGTGAGTAGAGGTTTTTCTGGTAATTCCTAAAGGGCCTGAATGAATTCTGATAACTTAACAGAATTCTTAGGGAAAAAAAAGTCGGACTTTACCAGTATGTGTATAAAATCATACGTTCTTTAAAACACACAAAACATGTTGATACCACTATTGTATTTTGTTTTATTAAGTTGGTCAAATGATGCCCACCATGGATTACTTTCAATTTGGAGGGAATTATATTCTTAAATATAAGTGTACAGTTCTAGATATCCTCAAACATGTCTATTTCAAATAAATGTCATGAATATTTTTAGAAGAAGGCCCTGTCTCTGGGCAGGTTTATGAAGAGTTTGTCTTTTTTTGTAGGGCCTATAATCTGCTTTCAGCTCAGTACGAAGTATTAAATTGCACTCCTGATGACAGAATAGTTAATCTGTGTTTGTTCATTTTGAATAACCATCCTCAGATGCATAGTCCATAGCAACAGCTATCCTAAGCACTGAGTGTCCCCCAAGTGTTAGCTGTTTCCTTCCCCTTTCCTAACCTGCTCACATCTGCTGTTTGTCCATAAGCTCAGTCACCCTTGCCAGTGCTGATCAGGGGAGGATCAATTCGTCATGTTCTCAGGGAGCTCCTCTCACAATTCCTCTTACTCCTTGAAAACCAATTCCATCTATGACTCTGGAGAGACTTGGAGTCAATGGTCTCAAGTAATTTTAACTCCCCTGCCTTTCCCTAGTGACAGTCTTTCTGAAGGATGAACAAATGTCCTTGATGAAAAAATCATTACAAAATTCTTTTTGGTTTTGGATTATGACAACTCTCTGTTCAAGCAGTCCTGGTCTGAAAAGACCATTGTATAAAGGAGAACTGAGTATGTGCAGTTGTTCTGAACATCTACCCTTGCAAATAAAGATGAAATAATTAGACTGTATGCTTTTATCAGAAGCGGGACAATCAGTAAGTAAAGCAGGTGGCCAGCTGAATTACCTATATTATGTAACCGAGTTAGGGCAGGGAACACAGAATTCTTTCTAAAGTAATAGCTGGTAAATGCATATTTTATATCTCAATACAAATAAATCTCTTCTGTGATCAGTGAGATGGCTCAGCACCGAAAATTACTTGCCCGACAATCCCCAGGACCGCAGGGTAGGAGGACGGTCCCGGGAGGCTGTCTTCTGGGTTCATGTGTGTGTCTCAGTACTTATGCATTGACCGAGAGTGTAACATTTTCTTAGAAAATATGAAAACTTAGATGAGTTACAGGCAATTAATGACTGATGAAATAGGGTGGATCTGTCTTCCTCTGAGACATGCCCTTGATAGGTCACTCAGTTCGAAGTACACACACATTCTCTCTCTCTCATTCATGCATGCATACGTTGAAGCAGTACTCAATGTCCTGGCAGCCTTAATACACACATACATGCAACAATAATGAAGAGATCAATACTTTGAGGATGAGGGGTAACATGGAAGGGACTAGAGTGGGAACACAGATGGGTAGAAACGTTGTGAGTAAAACACTCATGTATGAAATGAAATTCTCAAAAACTTTTTTTTTATTTTTGGAAGTATATGTATGAAATGATCAAAAAAACTTTTAAGTTAAAAAATTCTTAAGTTTTGGAAGTGGTCATTGTGCATGTGTTCATGTGTGTGCAAGATGGTGTGTGTGAGGGAGGGCATGTGAAGGCCAGGGGCCTGTGTGTGAGGGAGGGCATGTGAAGGCCAGAGAAGGGCCTCAGGGCTTGTTCCTCAGGCATGTTTTGTTCATTTCGTTTTGTTTTTTGAGACTAGGTCTTTCATTGGCCTTGGGATAGGCCAGCCGGCCACTGAGTTCCATGGCTCTGCCTGTCTCACTCTACCCTTCCAGTGCTGGGATTACAAGTGCAGACCATCATATCTGACTTTCTTTTCTGTGGGTTCTGGGGGTTAAACTCAGGCCCTTGTGGTTGAAAGGCAAGCATTTTATCAATGGAGTCACCCTCTTATCACTGAAAATGAATTTTTACCATTCATAAGTAGAAGAAGATACATAACTACTACACGTCAGCCTTGGTATGCATACACACACTTCAAGAATAGGTTTGGACACCTTTTTAAAAAATCCAGTGGGGTTGGAGAAGTGGATCAGCTGTTAAGAACACTGTTGCTCTTGCAGAGGAGCCAGGTTCATTTCCCAGGACCCACATGGTAGCTAACCACCACCTGTAATTTGAGCTGTAGTGTATATATAACATACGATTCTGGCTTTTGTGGACCCTGCGGTGCCTAGACATAAATGCAGGCAAAACACCCAGACACATAAATAAAATGAAAATAAGTCTTAAAAAATGTCAGGGACAAAGTTCCATTGAATATAGTGACAAATTAATATGAAAACCTGCACAAAATAGTGCTCAAAGAATGGCCACTTAAAACTATTTATTTTACAGTAATGTACACGCATGTCTCTGTGTGGGAACGTGCATGTGAGTGCGTGCTTGTGAGTCATGTCTAAGCATGTCTCTGTGTGGGAACGTGCACATGAGTGTGGGTGTGCTTATGAGTCAAACAAGGCTTTCTTCATCAGGTTGCTTTTATTAGGGCAAAAAGGACACTAAGACATTAGCCTAGATTCCTGTTCACTTGATCGTAATGCTTAGGTTTTCTTTTTTATTCTCTGTAGAAGGTGTATGTCCAGGGACAGAAACACACATGTAAATGCAGTACTGATGCAGCTGCAAAAATCTTGGCCAAAAATATTTTGGCAGATGTATACTGTTTTTGAAGTTGCAACCCATTTTTTTTTTCTAGTACTCGTTTTAAAAAGTCAAAAAAAAGGGGGCTGAAGAAAGGGCTCTGTCTTTAAGAAGCTTTTCAGGAGGCCTGAGTTCCATTACAGAATCTGCTCCAGGCAGCTCACAACCACTTGCAACTCCAGCCCCAGGGGATCTCCTGCCTCTCACCATCATGGGCAACTGAACTCACATGCACATACACATACACATACACATACCATACACATACACACACACACACACACACACACACACACACACACACACACACATAATTAAAAGTAACAGAAACAAATCTTTTAAAAATTAAGGGTAAATTGCTTTTTTGGTATGTATTTCGGTGCTGGGATTGAGCCTAGGGCCTTTGAATGTTGAGTGTGCACTGCTTCCTTCCCAGCTCAGTAAAGTAGTGTCTTCATGTGAATGACTATGCACCTTGCACCAGCTACAGTTTGTAACAGAGGGAAAAGTGTCTAACAGACAATTAAACAAGTGATAGTTCACACACACACACGCACACACACACATACTTTGACAGATATTATGAGGGTTACTGGTAAATCATAAGCAATGACTGGAGAGTAGAGACTTAGAATATTATAATTGTAGAGAAACATTTATAAAAAAAAATTCAAAAGAATGCCTTGGTTTGATTCACTGTTCTAATTATTAGTAGTCACTGTATCTTACATGGCCTAAGACCAATAGGTCATGGAGTAATTCCAGCATTCCATGTATAATTT